ATTCTGATGCCTTCAGTGCTCTGGAAATCACTTTGCTGTGGTTTGAAGGACTAAGAAAGCAATGAAGTGCCCCCTGCTGCATCTTTTGAGAGGTGCATTTTTATGACCTTTTTGATGTTATGAATGCCTCACTCCCTCATTAGTTTGTAAAACAAAGGTTCTGCTGTAATAAAAAGCAACTGATACTTAGGTCAAGTTTTTCAAAATTGGGGTGCCTCCATTTCCTGGAGCCTCCAGTCCAAACTGGTTCCTAGTTGAGACGATTCAGATCTGAATTTGCAGCTCCCACTGGCTTCAGCTGGATTTGTGATGGCTCCGCACTTCTAAAAATGAGGCCACTTACATATTTAGGTGCTCGATGTGAGACACATAAGGTGCTTGACACCCCATCTTCTAAAAATCAGAGCCTCTTAAAAACTGAGTATCCTTAGAATATCTACCAGTCGTTGTTGAAAATCTTGGCCTAAACATATCTCCATACCTCAGATTGGATTCAGATGCGTTTTAAGGAAGAGGGTAGATAAAATGATGCTTTATTCACAAAGTCAGGCTTAAAACAATCAGATAGCTTAAGGGTATGTCCACACAGCACAAAACCTGTGGCTGGCCCATGCCAGCTGACTTGGCCTCGTGGGGCTTGGACTGTTTCATTGCTGAGTAGATTTCTGGCCTTGGGCTGGAGCCCGACTTCTGGAATCCTCCCACTTCACAGGGTTCTAGACCCCTGGCTCCAGCCCAAGCACAGATGTCTACACAGCTGTGAAACAGCCCTGCAGCCTGAGCCCTGCGAGCCTGAGTCATCTGGCACGGGCCAGCCGCGAGTGTCTAGTTGCTGTGCAGACGCACCCTGTCACCTGAAATTGTGACGATAGCCAGCAAAGTTGTGAGGTGAAAATGGCATGTTCTCAAGCAATACAGCTTCCTCCCATGAACTGTCAAGTTGTGTTAGCATAAGAACATAAGAACCGCTGTACTGAGTCAGACCAAAAGTCCATTTAGCCCAGTATCCTGTCTTCTGACAGTGGCCAATGCCAGGTGCCCCAGAGGAAATGAACAGAACAGGCAATCATCAAATGATCCATCTCCTGTCACCCATTCCCAGATTTTGGCAAACAGAATCTGGGGTTTTAGGAGCATCAGGGATTTGGCTTCCAAGGCCTAAATTCCCTCACGCTTCACTGAAAATCCCAGCTTTTCAGTACCACAAAAAAGGGCCTGAAATTTCCCAATGAATTTAAATAGGCTCCATCTTTGTTCTCATGGATGAAACCTTGGCCCCACTGAAGTCAGTTACAAAACTACCATTGACTTCAACAGAGGCTGGATTTTGCCTCATGGTTTTATGCCCATTGGCCTAGCCAATGTGGCTTCTGTTTTGCCTCCCCCAAACTGCTTCAAATTTAAGAGCGTTCAGCTCTGGCTTCCCAGATCCGGCCGCTCCCATTGGCTTCAGTTGGATTGGTGGCTGCTCACCGCTTCTGAAAACAAGGCCCTTAGAGATCTAGCTGCCCAGTTATGAGTTGAGGAGCCCCACTTTAGGCACCCAGGCTTGAAAACCTCAGCCTAGGACCTCTGGGGCTTTGCCCAGGCCCTCAGCTGCGCCTGCGAAAGGTCAAGACTTTGTGGCAGCACCACAGAGATGGGTGTGAAAGCTGGTGGTATGGCAGCCGTGAAAGTGATGTGGACTAGAACAGAATGAGGGTGAAAGGTCTGTTTGTTAACAGAGGGGGTCTGTACTAGGCAGAGGGTGTAGCCCCAAAATATCTGAGCCATGAAATCACCTGGATTCATTTAAAGGGTAATATTGATTTTATGCACTTTTAAAAAATGATTGCAGTCTTGATTCTGCCTCTCGTATTGTCACTGGATGAAATTCACACCTTAGCAGAGATCACTACAAGGCTTAGGGATCATTTATCTCAAGCTTCGGCCTCCAAAATAGGCCTTGAGTAGGACTAAGGTGGTGGGTGGGCCATGTCTGTTATTTTCTCCTTCTCATAACACAGGAACTAGGAGTCACCAAATGAAATTAATAGGCAGCAGGTTTAAAACAAACAAAAGGAAGTATTTTGTCACACAATGCACAGTCAACCTGTGGAACTCTTTGCCAGAGGATGTTGTGAAGGCCAAGACTATAACAGGGTTAAAAAAAGAACTATATAAGTTCATGGAGGATAAGTCCATCAATGGCTCTTAGCAGGATGGGCAGAGATGGTGTCCCTAGCCTCTGTTTGCCAGAAGCTGAGAATGGGCCACAGAGGATGGATCACTTGATGATTACCCATTCTTTTCATTTTCTCCAAAGCACCAGGCATTGACCATTGTTGGAAGACAGGATACTGGGCTAAACGGACCTTTGGTCTGACCCAGTGTGGCCATTCGTATGTTCTCTGCACCTGGGTGGATTTTACCCCTTGCAAGTTTGTGAACCCCAAATGTTCAAAAATCACAAGTCTGACCCCCATCCCTACAGAAATCCTGAGATTGGCTTAAACATCCCAAGGTTTTAAAAAACCAATGAGAAATGAGGGGTTATTTGTTAGCTGGTTTCTGAGTCTTTGGGATGCCCTCAGGTCACATTTTTCCAATCTTGCCACAGACAACAGGGCTGGGAACTTATTCTTTTTTAAAAAAAATGAAAGCCGAGATTCTCTCGAATCACATGATTCCTGGTACTGGGGCTTTAAATAAAACATCAGCTATCGTGAGACATGTGATAAGATTGTGAGAGTTGACAACATTGCCGTGAATTATAACTTATGGTCTGATCTAAAGCCTGTTGAAAAGAAAATTGGACAGCAATTTGCTTTGGATCAGTCCCTTCTTCACAGTGTGCTCTCTTGATTTCTCATGGAGTAAAGGCCCAATTTGGTCTTGTTTACACTTAAAAGGGTTTGCTATCAGTAAGATATAGCAGCATAGCTAATCATAGTGGAGATGCAGCTGAGTTCTTTTGCTGGTATAGCTTAAACCAGTTCCCTGAACGGAATAAGGTATTTTTGCTGGCATAATTACATCTACACAAGGCCTGTTACCAGCACAGATACAGTAGAACTTCAGAGTTACGAACACCTCAGAAATGGAGTTTGTTCGTAACTCTGAAAGGGTCGTACCTCTAAACTGACAATTCTCAAACTGTGGGTTGGGACCCCAAAGTGAGTTGCAACCCTGTTTTAATGGGGTTGCTAGGGCTGTCGTTAGACTTGCTGGGGCCTGGGGCCCAAGCCAAAGCCTGAGCCCCACCACCTGGGGCCAAAGCCAAAGCCCCAGGGCTTCAGCCTTGGGTGGCGGGGCTCAGGTTACAGGCCCCCCACCTGGGGCTGAAGCCCTTGAGCTTTGGCTTTGCCAGCCCCATACCCCCACGCCCAGGGTGGTGGGACCTTGGGCAGGCTCAGGGTTCAGTCACTGCTCCTGGGGTCCTGTAGTGATTTTTGTTGTCAGAAGGGCGTCGCGGTGCAATGAAGTTTGAGAACCCTGCTCTAAACAAAACGTTATGGTTCTTTCAAAAGTTTACAACTGAACACTGACTTAATAAAGCTTTGAAACTTTACTATGCTGAAGAAAAATGCTGCTTTCCTTTTTTTTTTTTTGGTAGTAGTTTACGTTTAACACAGTACTGTCCTGTATTTGCGTTTCTTTGGCCTCTGCTACTGCCCGATGGCGTACTTCTGGTTCCAAAGGAGGTGTGTAGTTGACTGGTCAGTTCATAACTCTGGTGTTCGTAACTCTGAGGTTCTACTGGATATCCATAGAAGTATGATTTTTTTTCACATTTCTGACATAGCTATGCCAGTAAAACTTTCTAGACCAGATCTCAGTGTAAGTTTGGCAAAATTGGGACCTTAATTTGCTGTTTGAAATGCCCGAGGAACCAGAGGGAATTGGATGAAACCAGAGTAAGTTAAAATCTCTGTGCTTTCCATTGCAAGCTGCAGGCTGGTGTGTGTAACAGGCAGAAAGGATCCAGCTTGACTTTCAGACCCTCAGTGAGAAAACCCATCTTTTGACTCTTGAACTGAGTCTACATTTGAAATGCTACAGCTGCAGCTGGGCCACTGTAGTGCTTCAGTGTAGACACTACCTATGCTAACGAGAGGCGTTCCCGTCAACGTGGGTAATCCACCACCACAAGAGGCAGGTAGGTCAACAAAAGAATTCTTCTGTTGACCTAGTGCAGTCTACCTGGAGAATTAGGTTGGCTTAGCTTTGTCGCTATGGGGTGTGGATTTTTTACACTCCTGAGCGACACAGCTGGGTCAACTTCACTTTTTAGTGTAGACCAGGCCTAAGCCAACTGCATCTGGAAACCATTGAGAGAGAAGAAAATTAAAATTGTCATTTTCCTCCACCAAAACTCGTAAGTGCCGACTCTATGGGTGCTCCAGTGTGGAAAAAAAAAAATAGTGGGTTCAGCACCCACCAATCAGCTGTGTAGTGGGCTCTGCCGATCAGCTGTTCAGCAGTGGGCAGGAGTCGCTGGGGAGAGGGAGTGGAGTGGGGGCAGGAAGAGACAGAGCAAGGGTGGGACCTTGAGAGAAGGGGCAGAGTGGGGGCAGGGCCTCAGGGCAGAGAGGGTTGGAGCACCCACCCGGAAAGAAGAAAGTTGGCACCTGTGCCAAAACCCTGTGTAACTTACAACCACAAGGTAAAGACTACGTTCCTTTTACCTTTTTCACCTTTTCCCAGTTCATCCTGCAGAGTCTCTGAAAGAAGAAGAAAGTCAGTTAGTGCCGATGCCGAGGGGCAGAACCTCAAAGGAAGAGGCGGAGTGGGGGGCAGAGTGGAGCCCAGGCCCCACCCCCTACTTCTATGGAGCTTCACTTCCGGTGCTTCAAAGGTGGTGACTGGCTGACATGCCTCCGGAGGAGTGACCTGCACCACATCCACGGCATTTCCACCCTGCATGGCTGGCCTTTTTTGGGGAGGCTTAGATTCCCCTGGCCTCTTATACACGCCGCCCAGGATGGCCAATCCCTAGCTCTCAAAAATCATGAGTTACCCCCCCCTCCAAAAAAAAAATCATGAGATTGGCTTAAAATATTAATACTTTTCTTATTATTTTTCTGTGCTGTCTGGTTTCTGAGACTTTAGGCTACACTCTCGGGCCATGTTCTCAAGCTTTTCTGTGCAACCACATGGTCTAGAAACTTCCTTTTTAAAAAACATGACAGCAGAGATTCTCGTGAAATAGCCTGACTCTGGGAAGCTGGGGTTTTGAGCACAATGCCCAGTGTCAGCAGACTGGTGATAAAAATGAGAAGCGTTGGCAACCTTGGGAAATCCACCTCATTGCTTTCGACTTGAGAAGAGCCTGAATACTCAGCGGAGTCACGCTTAGCTAACAGACTGTTTTTGGGTGTCAATAATGAGTGAAAAATCATTGTAAACATTATCATTGCCAGTCACTTCTTGACTGGCCTTAATGTTTAACGTCTCTCTCAAATTCTGTCCCATGGGTCTGTCTGTAGTCACAGAGCTCTACAGAGCTTCTCTAATGTTGTTGGGCCTTGTTCTTATTTTTGGTTCTTAGTCAAGCAAATTGTCCACTGAAGTCAGTAGGTGAAATTCCCCCTTCTGCAGAGGTCTAGGCACCACTTAAAACTTCAAAACCGGGCTTCAGTGGCAAAGGCTCTTGGTTCAGGAGTGAATTTCATCTCATGGGATTTTCATCTAAAAGGCCCTGTTGTTTTTAGTTTCACTAATTTCTCATGCTTTTGAAATCTCTTAGCACCATCTACTGGCTGCTCTTGGTTGGTGCAATGATCTGTTACCAAAGAGGCTAAAAAAGACACGCACAAAGAATCATTATCTTTTCCCTTGGGCACTGAACATATCAGGGACCTCTTTAGCACCAAAATCCATAGAAAACATTACTGAAGGCCAAGTATATTTTAAAATAGAGGTTTTCCTTCTACTCACCTTTGAATTTCTTGAACACTCCCTTGAGGACAACAGTCTTGAGAGAGAAATTGCTGATAGAGCTTTTCATATCAGAAGAGACAGGAACTGGCTTCTGAAACTTCAGACCATTGCTTCTGAAGAAAAAATGGAAATTGTTCTATATTATGATGATGATCTATAGAGCTGCTCCAATGCTCACAAATATTCACCAAAGTATCCAATTCGTTTTGTGTTAGCGCTTGAGAATGAAATTCACTCCTTGGGCAGAAGGGCCAGCACAAATTTTAAGCCCCACTTATGTCTTCCACCACAAAACTGGGCTAGTCATACTGAAGTGGTGTTGATTAATAGTATTTCTCCAGCTATAGTGCTAGCTGAATATGTTCACTGAAAAAAATGACAATATTCTGCAAATAATGAATTCAATGTATAGTATTCATCAAGATCTATCTATCTCACTTATTTCTCAGGGGAGCATGTGTAGTAAACCATGGACTTAGCACACCAGTCCTCACATCTTCTCTGCTGCTTGGATGTGATCCATTGATGTCAATGGAAAGAATCCAATTAACTTAACTGGGCATTGAATCAGTGCCCTACCCTATCCTCATCTCATCAGCTCGTCATAGACAGCTCCCCAACCACTCAGGGGGCCAGGAGAAGCATGTACAATGCTGCAGAGATATGTGACTCCCCGTTCCTCTGGGTGGATGTGGGGATATGCCTGCGGAGAGAAGACGCTCAAGCTCTTTCTGTTAATGTCTTGGTTTGTTTTTAATTATTTATCACCACAACTGGAGGACTCAGCCCAGAGATAAAGGACTGAACAGCCCAAGGAGACCAACCCTTCTTCTCACCCTTTGAGTGGGACCTTCTCAGGCACTGTATAAAATAGATTGAAACAGGAGAGGGAGATTTCCCCATGCCAGACAAAGTGGAGAGGAGTGGACTGCTGACCCAAGCCACAGAAAGGAGGGGGAGCTATCCCCTACTTTTAATTATATGTAGCTCTTCTCATCAGCAGACTTCAAAGGAGGTCAGTATCATGATCCCCATTCACAGAGGGGGAAACTGCGGCCCATCATCCCACCCTGCACAGCCAGGAATAGAATCCACACCTCCTGAAGCCCACAGTTGCCAACTTTCATGTGGTAAATAAGTAGGGTGACCAGATGTCCCAATTTTATAGGGACAGTCCCGATATTTGGGTCTTTTTCTTATATAGGCTCCTATTACCCCCACCCCCATCCTGATTTTTCACACTTGCTTTCTGGTCACCTTATAAATAAACCAAAAGCTATTCCCACTTCAAAACAAGGCGAAAACAAGCCAATCCCTAAGAACCCCAAACACTCTATGTGACTTGATCCCCCCGGTGTGCAGTCTGGGCCTGTGGTGGGATCACTGTGCACGCCTGAGTCTCCCCCCCACTCTTGCCCCTGCTTGCCCCTTGCCCCTGCTTGCCTGGAGCCAATCAAAAGAAAGAAGCAATAAGCTACAACAAGCAAAAAGCTACAAGCCAAACAAGCAACAAAAACTAGCCAACAAGCAATTAAGCTAAAAACAAGCCAAATTTCTGCAGATTTTTTGTGGGTTTGGCATGTCTGCTGAAGCCCCATCTAATGCTCGGATCACTAGGCCAAACTGCCTCCTTTAAACAACAAGCAGCAGCCCAACTTCTTTGAGCCCGAGTCAGCTGGCACAGGCAGGGCCGGCTCTAGGTTTTTTGCCGCCCCAAGCTAAAAAAATTCCCCACCCTGGGCTCTCACCCCCACCCCACCCGCACCCCCTGCGGCCCCAGCCCTGGGCTCCCCCCACCAGTGCTGACTCCGCCCGCTCCCCCCTCGCCTCCAGCCGGTCTGGCGCTGGCAGGGTCGGGGTAAGCAGTAGGGCTCCCGGGCCGCGCCTCAGCCCAGGGTCCCTCCAGTCTGGGCTTCCACCTCCAGGACCGTCCGGGACCCAGGAGGGCAAAGCCAGGGGACCTCCCTGGCAGGGGACTGAGGAGCTAGGGCAGGGTAGCCCCAAAGGGAGCGGAGCCCCGGAGAGCGGGATGTGGGCCCTGCATGGCAGCGCCCCGCCCTCTATGGCCCCGCTGCTGCTTCTGGCTGCCCTGCCGCAGTCCCTGGGTGGCTCGGGCCACTTCGCCCAGCCCGGCTGCTGCCTGGGGGGTGGTCACCCTGTGGCATCTGCAGGTGGCTCTGTGTGCCTCGAGGGGCGGCCCCCAGCCCGAGTGTCCCCCACTAGGAGCCTGCCCAGCCCAGCCACAAGGTGCGGGTGCTGCTCCCCTGCGGCGCGAACCGCAGCGGCCCAAGGGCGACGTGCTGCTGCTGCCAGGGCTGGCTCTAGGCTTTTGCCGTCCGAAGCAAAAACAAACAAACAAACAAATAAATAAATAAATAAAAGATGGCCAGAATGCCGCCCTTGAAAATGTGCTGCCCCAAGCATGTACTTGGTTTGCTGGTGCTTAGAGCCGGCCCTGGGCACT